GATTGGGCAATAAGACACTTGGGTTGAACCACATTAAAAGATTGAATCCAATCGATTAGTTAGTCCAACTCAAGAGCTTATATACCGGTTATTTTACTCTTGAACTTCCGATGTGGGATGCACTCTAACAATGTCCAAAATATATTTACATGTTATATATGTCTACTGGTTAATTGTCACTCAGCTTTATGCTGAGCGTATAGTGTTTAACTGCACGCAGGTACTTACAAAGGGAACAACTGCTAAGGAAGGAAGGCATAGATGGACATGGAGCCGTGTCAAGTCAAGAATCCTCTCTTCTTATGTTAGTATTTTTTTTAAAGTTATGTTAGTATTTGATAATGAATAAATCATTGGACATATTTTACTTTGGTTTGGGCTTTAATCCTAAATTATATTTTCTATTCAATCTTTTAATTATTTAATGTTTACTCAAATACTTGTAAAATTTCTTGATTATCGAAATGAGAATTTTCTTCTAAATAAATAATATTTTACCAAGTAATCCAATTTTACTAGCACTCTGGTCAGGGCCGGTCCCGAGGATTCATCAGCCTGGGCCAAAACAGAAAAAAGGCCCTAAAAATCTTATCTTTAATGGTCTAAAAAATTCACATGTGTAAACTAATTATATTAGTATTATAATTTATAATTAACGCAATATTATTAGAAGAAAAAAATAAATGACAAAATTATAGTATTAAAATTACTTCTACTTCTTCGTCTTCAGCAACAAGTTTCATAAACTTATACAGAGCTCTGGCTTGAGACTTTCTCATTTCTTCATCTCGTTTTCTCTTTTTTCTTTTTTGACTACCGGATAATTGTTTAGGAGCCATAACTATTGAATTATTTCTGAAATAAAATCCAAAATCATAAATTCTACTTAGTAAAATCAAGAATAAAAAACTGCAAAAAGCAAGCAAATAAATAAATCATAAATTAATATCAATTCGTCAATTTTTCTTTTTAAAATTGTTTTTTTCTTTTTCAGTTTTAATTTTTTTATAAATCATAAATTCATATCAATATAGCAATTAATCAGTTTTTAATTTTTTTTCAGTTTTTTTAATATAAATATATAATTATCATAAATAACAAATTCAAATCAATCATCCTAATCAAATAAATAGCTTATAGAACCATTCATTCATTCTATTTCAAAGAATGAAATTAGAAAAGATTTCAAAGTAAAAACTAATAGTTAACCCTAGATTTTAAATCTACAAAATGAAACAATGAAAGAAATTTAAGATTTAAGAAATAAAAATTACAAAATTGGGAACGGAAGGCTATGAATTACCTGGAGGGTGGAGGGACTGGAGGCGTGCAGGTCGGCGACCGGCGGTGGAGGCGGCGAGTCTCGGC